AAAGTACTGAGAGTATTTCATTGGTGGACAAGTCGCTTCTGTGTTATAAGCTCTAGTGCAACAATATTGTGGCTGATTAAATGCTACGCATGCACTCTTGCAACTAATTGTGGCACCATCTGAATTTTTCACAAGGTCAGTCGAACACTCAGCATTGAGGTCGACTGGGCATGAGGAGGTGTTGCAGCTGCCGGTTCCACCTTGTGGGGTGATGGAAACCGGTAAGTTGAATCAACCTTAAATTAAGGTTGGTAAGTTGAATCAACCTTAATTTTACTAAGGTTGCTGGAGGGATTGCACCGGCACCATTGCAACCTATCTGACTGGAGGCACAGTCGGCAGTCTGACAGGTGAACTTCCCACTGGCGTCCGTGGAGCAAGAAGTCCATGCCCAAACCGACCCGTCCACGGGGCAGGCACATTGAGGGATGATGAGGCTTTAGACGCTAACTCGAACCCCGTTGACGATAATTGAGCGCCGCCACCGCCGGTAAGGGTTCCGGGCCAAATGGTGTAAGGGCAGTTGTTTGTGAATGTGAATGTGGCTGAGTGAGCCCCTGTAACACACACAATATATAGTTAAATGTCTCACAGTACCATTCATTGGAATTTATATATAAAAAAAAAAAATTGCATTCAGGCCTTTTAAAAAGAGCCGCTAAATACTAGTCAAATCAAAACCATTTAGATAAATAGGCTTCACATAAATATTTACTTTTTAAGAAAAAGAGGTGTCGTTTTTTTTTTCTTTTTTTTTCTTTTTTTTTTTTTTTTTTTTTCCATGAACAATCATATAGTACTTTTTAGTTCATTTGTTCAATTTTTCTTCTTATATATCCAAACTTTCTTCAAATTGTAACTTCTTATTTTTCTACAAATAACATTATCAGTACAAATATGGATTCTTTTAATACCATACTAGGGTTAAATTAACATATTTAAAATAATTAAGAATATTTTGCCTTAATATTAACATCATGAAATTGTGTTCCAAATATTGAAATATATATACGTGTACATATAAATTAATATTCACGCACATCATGCATTTGAGTTCAAGTCCCGTATAAGTGTGAATGTGTGAGTTTATCATATAAAATGTGGATGAAATTAATTTTGGTCCACAACTTGAAATCTATAACAAAAAATATCAACTTTTTTATACAAATTAATTTTGAACTTTGGAACATACATAGTAATGTTTGAGAGATAATGACACACATCATGAATGCCTACTACAATATTATTCACACACGCATATGTGTGTGTATATACATATATATATATATATATATATATATATATATGTATATGTATAATATCAGAAGAGGAAATTTAGAATAACTTAAAAAATAAGAAAACAAAACTTACAGGAATCAAAAATGGTGGCAAGGGCAAGAGCGCCGAGAAAAACTTTAGCGTTCATCATTTTCTTTAAAAAAAAATGTAATGGTGAGTTCTATTTTGTGTAGTAATAGTATAGGGTTGTAGTGTTATATATATATAGGGTTTGCTTTTTGGATTTTTTAATTTAGCATTGATTTTTTTGTACAAGATTATTAATGTAATTGGAAAACTTGACGAGTTCAATTTGAAATTTTGGTCATGCATGAACCAAGTACGTGGTTCTCATTTTCTCAAAATTAATAACATGCACCTAAAAATTAATAACATGCCCTAAAAATGCACCTAAAAAATTAATAACATGCACCTAAAAATTAAGTTTGTTAGACACAAACTCTTCCCCCCCCCCCCCCCCCCCTTCTTATTTTTATTTTTTATATAATATTATTTAAAGGGATAAACACTTGTGTTAAATAAACTCCTTCTTCAGACTTAGAATTTTTATACCTTTTCTAATTTATATCACAGGCTTATCTCTACATAATTTTTATTTTATTTTTAATTGGGACATGACATTGGCGTGTCAAAAATACCCTTGTTCAAGGCTTCAAAAGTATTCTACCATCTCCCTACTCCCGTTCACATCCTTATTTCACTTATCCCTTCCTCTCATGTTCCCTAAAACCACCAAAAATAGAAAGATTGGAACTCTCACTCTTTTGTAATTGTGAAGAGAGACTTACATACAGTACTTAAATTTATGTAATAAACGTGTTATCTTTATTTTTATTTGGGATACGTGTATTTGAACTCTGTAACAAACAATCTTCTTTATAATATATTTTAATTTTTTATTGGTTACAATTGTCCATTTTTCCGAAACAAACAAGTTTTTATTCTTAAAATAAATTACCATTTAACTTAATTAATTCGAAAATATATAAAAATAAGAAATTATTTTATTTAAGTCAAAGTTATATACAAAGTACAAATAAAAAATCATGATAAATACAAACTCCCTCTAAGAATTTCTTGTAATATACTCTAAGATAAGATGTGTATGTACGTGACTATCTAATAATTTCTCTGTGGTGTAGTAGATTTAAATAAGATTTCCTCAATTTCTTAAACTATTGTGACTTTGTTGTGATATGCAGTGTTTTCTACACATTGTAGGACGTGTTGAATGTTCTTCTTTTTTTTCTTTTTTTAATTATATATATATATAGAGAGAGAGAGAGAAGGCATATGAGAATTTTTAATTGTACAGTGTTTTCTACGTTGTCAATTAATGAGGTACTGCTAGAACTCTAAAGTTTGGCCAAATATGCAACAAAACAAGATTTACGAAGCAACTACAAATTCACACAGGAAAGCAACTAATGAATGAAAAAAAAAAAAAAAAAAAAAAAACCAAAAATCAAATTTAAAAAAATACAATAATTATATTTTCACACTATTAATTCGAGTCGGCTCAAAATAATTTAAGGCTGAGATTTTTAGTTAAGTCAAAGTTATATACAAAGTGTCAAAAAAAAAAAAAAATTTGATAAATATAAACATCCTCTAAGACGTGTCTGAGACCATCTAATAATTTTTTTGTATCTAATAATTTCTCATAATACACGAAGAATGCAATTACAAACTCTCTTTAACATAAGATGTGTACTATATACGTGACTATCTAATTAAATGTTGATCAAGAACCAAGATGTCCTAAATTTCTTAAACTATTGTGACTTTGTTGTGATAAGCAGTGCTTTCTACACATTGTAGGACGCGTTGAATGGTCTTCCTTTCTGAAAAAAAAAAAAAAAAAAAAAAAACTAAGTTCATCATAGGCCAGTCAATTAATGAGGTACTCTAAGCCAAATATACAACAAAACAAGATTTACAAGGAACTACAAAGTCACACGGGAAAGCAACTAATGAATCAAGAACAAAAAAAACAAAAATCAAATTTTAAAAAATACAATAATTATATTTTTACACTATTAATTCAGATTTGGTGAGTAGGTAAGCATTGTCCTCACTACGTATGTGGCGCAATATTAAACTAACAAGTGTTCTTACATTTAAAATAATAAAAATAAATAAATAATTTGATAGATATTTGGGTTAAATCCAAATGAATCTGAATCAAATTATGATTCTCTCTTCTCTCCCTTTTTCTCACACTTCTATCATGCAAAAGCCCTAATCTCATCCGTTCTGTCCCTCTCTCTCTTCCCTTCTCTCTCTCGCACTCATATTATTAACAGGAATCTATGGCACCTGGAAGTAACCTTTCTAAAAATGCACAAAGCCATAAAGGAACTGGAAATTGGTCATGAGGTTGGTCTTTCGAAATTTGATTGTTCTTGTTTTTAACTAATATCACCTTCCTAGTCATGAGTACGAGTGTTTTTTTTTTATTTTATATATTATTATTGGTGATAAATTATGATAGACGTTGAATTCAAGAGTATCCAAATCGATGTCGAATGCAATGTTTTGCAGTAAGATTTAATTACCGAAATTGATTAAGTTGATTAATTAGAATTTGATTTGGATTCATTTGGATTTAAATCGGATATCTATTAAGTTATTTTTTTTATTTATTTTAAATATAAAGACACTTGTTATACTTGGTGAGTATAAGTTTCCTACTCACCGGTGAATAGGCAAGTATTGTCCATAATTTGAGGCTTAAATATGAGATTTTTAGCTGAGATTTTTTAAGAATAATATGATCTTGTGGGTTAGACTCCTATATTATAAATTTTACTTGTCTTCTTAGATATCAAAATAATAACATAAAAATTATTGTGTGCGTGTTTCCTAAAATTATATGATAAAAACTAATTGAATTTTAAACTAAAAGGACAAGAATTGAAAAGTAAACTGAAAATCTAATGCATACTTTTTATAAATTTACTACTAGTTTGACTAAAAATGGAGACTAAGAAAAATGGCCTTAGTTTTGAAGCCAAGTGATGCTCATGAGAGGAAATTAACATCATCTTCTAGTAAGATTAGGGATGACAAATTACGATACAACACGACAACACAATACGAAGACGGCACAATGTAAAAGGGTTTGAGTTTGGTTTAAATGGGTTTGGGTCAAAAAATGGTCGACACGATTAATCCGTTTACTTAACCGTGTCGAGTTAGGGTTGAGGGGTTCAACTCGTATAACCCATTTATGACCCATTTAACTCAATATATTATAATATGTGAACCATTTAAACCCAATTACTACGAATAATTAAGTCATTTCAACATAAACCTTGTCTATGCCTTATGATTTTCTTTTTATTTTGAATATTTGGGTTAATTATGGCAAATTTTTTCTATTATTTAGTATTTGATTAAATATAAAATGTTTCGTTTTGATAAACAGGTCATTAAACGAGTTAACACATGTAACGACCCAAAAAGATAACGGTCGACATTACTAAAATTCAGTCAATTGGCATGACCTCTGCGGAAAAGAGTCCTACTACAACCTGCTGCAATGCATATGAAATGCAATGGCCTCACTTGGGCCTTCAAAACTTAACTAACCTACTCCAACACACTATGCAAATAATAAACCTTAATCCAAAATCTACTACATCAACACCATCCTTAAAAAAGTTCATCGTCATCCCATTCACCTACAAATATATATAAACATAACTATTACATGCATCATTGGCTATTAGTAAGACATTTGAAACTTACATCAAATACAAACATGGTTCTTGATTCCCTTTATAGGCCATACAATATACAAAATGTACATGTCTTAATAAAGTTACACAAAATGAGACTTAGGTACAAGAGGTAACAAAATAAGCTTCTAAAATCCTGCATACGCCTGTGGTAGAACGTCGTCCGCCACTTCCTTTCCATATCCTGAAAAATTTTAAAAATTAAAGGGTGAGTAGAAAGCTCAGTAGAAGTCGCCTAAGGCGTCAGTTTTGGACTCCCATGAGCCACATAACACATCAGGGGATAGAAATGAAGCCGGGGTCATATCATAGGAATTCAAACAACATTTAACACATAACAAGTAGTATCCATAGTCACAAGCACATTTATACATTCCAAATGCATGATATGATATGAGATGCATCCCCTCACCAACTTGGTCTATACCGACCCAATATACACTTTTCGAAAATCCGCTAACCGACTTTACCGAGGCGAGATTGATAGTTACCCCCGATTCCAAATTCGACAACCGTTAAAAGGTTTAGTATCAACTTTTTCACGCCCTACACCGGGCCGTGCCCCCTCTAAGTCAAGCTAGCCCCGGACTCGCGAAATCCAGTTCATTTAAAAAAAAAAAAAAACATTTCCCTTCCTTTAAAGAAACTCAACGTTCTAAAAACAACATTTCCTTTCAAATTTTCTCCAAATCCCTCATTTATGCCATGATATGCAATGTAATAACTTTCATCATAAAAATCTCATTTTCATCATTATATCAATAACGCATCATCATGGCATTTTTGATAATCAACTAAGAACATAGCATACTTTGAAAATTCAATACAACAAAGACACCATTATCTCAAGTAAAACATGTACAAGAACCATTCACAAGCAAATTTAACATATAAATACATACAACTACATGCTTTAATAAGTAAAACATTTCCAAATCCTTAACTTCGTATCGAAGTTTGCAATTTTAGACATATAACAATAATATTAGAAATTTGCTCAAATAAAGAGACAGAACTTGATGCATTAGGGAACCCCTACCTCAATTGGAATGAAAATCCAATTATCACCGAAATGAAATCGCCCAAAATTTTCCGTCCGCAAAAATAGATTTTTTAGCTTGTTACCTTCAACTTTGAAAATTCATAAAAATTTCAATTCTTTAACAAATTGAATGATTCCAAAACCCATTGAAAGCTTAAACACTATAATTTGAGAATATCAATTTAACTTAACAAAATCCATTGCCGATTGAAACAATTTTGACACAAAAATTCGAAGAAAATTCTGCCCAGAAAACAGATTTTCAGCACGTAGCTTCCAAACTTTGAAAATTCATGGAAAATTCAATTCTCATCCAAATTGAGTGAATCTAAAGTCAATTGAAAGTTTAAAGACTATAGTTTGAAACTATCTATTTAGTTTAATAAAATACCTTTCCATTTAAAACAGTTTTGATGAGAAAGGTCGAAGAAATTCTGCCCCCAAAACTGAATTTCTAGCCAGATGACTCCAACTTCACAAATTCATAATAAATTCATTCTTCAACCAAATTGTGTGAAACCAAGTCTCAATGGAAGATAATTGACTATATTTTCATAAAATCAATTCATCTTAATAAAATAGATTTTGAATTTAAATGAATTTGTGCAAAATATAAGTCATTCTATTCTAAAAAAAAAAAAAAAAAAAGTATGCTTGACATCAAATAATCGTATAAAACACTTGAATAACATAGATCAAGAGGTTAATATAATCATACCTCAAGAAAAGTAAAATCCCACCCAAGTTCCACTGGACCATAGTTCACCAAATCCAAATTTTCTTTCATAGAACCGAAGAGGAGAAGAAGGAGAACAAGCTACCCTCCTATGGCTTCCTCAAAATCCTAAGTTCGAAAATCACCCAAAATTCTAAAATACTCCAAACTCATATTTTCTTCCATATAATTGAAGAGGAAGAAGAGAGGATAAGCTTTCTCTCTTGGAATATCTTCTAATTCCCACCCTAAAGGTCTCAAATGGAGGAGAGAGAAAGTAGATCTTGAAACTCATTAATGGTGGAAGAAGAAGAAGAATGAGAGAAGGTGAAGAAGACATACGGGTCAAATGGAAGGAGAAAATCTGATTTTTCTCCATCTCTCTCTATATGTATAGTGCACCACATAACTTTCCCAAAATCTCATTACTTAACCCAAATGTTTCGAAATAATTACTTCCTCCCTCTAAGCAACTTCTACTTAAATACACAACATTCCATCACAACCATAACAATTAGGTCCCCAATTATCCTTCATTTAGGTCCCCGCAATTGCCGAACACATGTACCACCCCGAGTCCACTTGCTCGACTACGACAAACGAACTCAACTAGGAAAAGAATTCTATTCGAGAATACTCATAATGGAAATAACAGCCCCAAAAACTTAAGGACTAAATCCTTAAGACAAAAATCAAGCCCGACTAGTAACACAGTCATCTAAATAATTAAAAAAATAAAAAATAAAAAAATTTCAGGTCACTACACTACGTTTACCTGTTTAATAAACGAGTTGGGTTAGTGTTGATGATTATTGACATGATTATTAAATGGGTTAGTGTTGAGGATTCTTGATATGATTATTAAATGGGTTAGGTTTGAGTTTATTATTTAATATAATATCTTTACATCAACATGACACGAACATGATTTACGAACATGAATTGTTAACCCTAAATAAGATGTGACCAAACCACCTATGAATGCGTCAGTAAGACGTAACAATACAGATTTAAGCCCTTGTCAAACCACCCGTGAACCCGACAATAAGCGTAACATTACTAGAAATTAACATCGTCTCCTAGTAAGACGTAACATTACTAGAAATTAACATCGTCTTCTAGTAAGACGTAACAATAATTTGGTGGCTGTGGCTTTGCGGTCGCTGTTGGTTGAGAGAAGCAACTCATGAAGACTTCTTCTTCTTCTTTTAATTGTTATCAAACTTACCGCCAAGTGTCAAGTTAATGTCAATAATGTCCTTATCAGATAAGTTCAACTCTTGGTTCTCTTTGAGCTGTTGTGGCTTCAATTTTTACAAATTTTAAAAATCTTATTTCCAATTTTGAAAAATCATTTATATTTAATAACAACTCCAAACTCTCTTTTTTTTTTCCTAAAAAAATTTATAAGGCTGAGAGTAACAAAACAAAGGAAAAAATAAAAAAAAAAATTAAAAAAAATAAAAAAACACCGAGAGAGAGAACAATTTCTTAGAATCCAAACAAAGGGAACCAAAAAAACATAACTCTAAATCATCAATAATGGAACTCAAGCATTGAAAAAGCAAAACACTACTGAAAAAAGGCTCTAAATCATCAATGTCTAAGAACAAAAAAGCATTGAGTTTGACTCCTGATAATTTAGAGCCAATTTTTTAGTTGAGTTTTTTTGTTTCCTTTGTTTTGGGTTCTAAGAGTCCAGGAAAAAAAAAAAAAACGTTTTTATTAATAGAGCTATCAAAAATAATTACAACGGTAAAAAACATGATATCAACCAACAATAGGAACAACGACAGAAACTTTAGCTATTAGTCCTCTTCCTCAATTGCCATTGTATTCTTTCGATTTGCTGGTAATGTTAGTAACATAATAACATACAAAGATAACTTTCAAGAAGGATAAACTAATTAAATTTTAACTAAAAAAATAAGAATTGAAAATTTCAATGCATATTTTTCATAGATTTATTGTTAAGAATGATAAGTTTGAATGAGAACAAAGAATAAGGATATTGATAAAAACACTTATTTTTGGAACCCAATGGTGCGCATGATGAAAAAAAAAACAGAAAAAAAACATGATATCTACCAACAGTAGGAACAACGACAGCAACTTTAGCTATTAGTCCTCTTCCTTAATTGCCATTGTATTCTATTGATTTGCTGGTAATGTTAGTAACATAATGACATACAAAGATAACTTTCAAGAAGGATAAACTAATTAAATTTTAACTAAAAAAATAAGAATTGAAAATTTCAATGCATATTTTTCATAGATTTATTATTAAGAATGATAAGTTTGAATGAGAACAAAGAATAAGGACATTGATAAAATCGCTTATTTTTGGAACCCAGTGGTGCTCATGAAGTAAAAAAAAAAAAAAAAAACTGTCTTTCAATGAGAATTTTGCCACAATACCCATGAGACTATTCTTTGATTGTTACCGATCTTTTTGTTCTTCAAATTTAATCATAATCTTTTATAGATATATATATATATATATAGGTCAAATGTAAAAAAACACCTTTATAATATGCTTACAATACATATTGCACCCTCACGTGCAAAAAATACTCATAAACTATGACATTTATGCAAATAGGTTCTACTTACATATTTATGATAAAATTGAACTAAAATGTCCATAGCAACACATTTTATAAAATGTATAAAAAATTAATATATTGTGAAATGACTTAAAAGGGTAGCTCTCTACGGAAGAAAAAAAAATTATTATTATATATATATATATATATATATATATATATGTATATATATATATATATTTCTTCTTGTTCGTCTTGGTGGCTGCCGCCATGGTTATATATGTGTGTGTTGGAAACTAGCTGTGAAAACTAGTGTTTCTACATGTGAATGAAACTTGTCTATGAATATGACCTATGTATATCAAGTTGCAACATGAATATATGGTGTGAATGGTTGCATGTTGTTCCATGCAAAGTTATGTATATCATAACATACACAATTTAGGCCATGTTGTTGACCAGTTTTTTAGTGTATCCTTTCATAGAAAACATTTATAAGGCTGAGAGTAACAAAACAAAGGAAAAAATAAAAAAAAAAATTAAAAAAAATAAAAAAACACCGAGAGAGAGAACAATTTCTTAGAATCCAAACAAAGGGAACCAAAAAAACATAACTCTAAATCATCAATAATGGAACTCAAGCATTGAAAAAGCAAAACACTACTGAAAAAAGGCTCTAAATCATCAATGTCTAAGAACAAAAAAGCATTGAGTTTGACTCCTGATAATTTAGAGCCAATTTTTTAGTTGAGTTTTTTTGTTTCCTTTGTTTTGGGTTCTAAGAGTCCAGGAAAAAAAAAAAAAAACGTTTTTATTAATAGAGCTATCAAAAATAATTACAACGGTAAAAAACATGATATCAACCAACAATAGGAACAACGACAGAAACCTAGCTATTAGTCCTCTTCCTCAATTGCCATTGTATTCTTTCGATTTGCTGGTAATGTTAGTAACATAATAACATACAAAGATAACTTTCAAGAAGGATAAACTAATTAAATTTTAACTAAAAAAATAAGAATTGAAAATTTCAATGCATATTTTTCATAGATTTATTGTTAAGAATGATAAGTTTGAATGAGAACAAAGAATAAGGATATTGATAAAAACACTTATTTTTGGAACCCAATGGTGCGCATGATGAAAAAAAAAACAGAAAAAAAACATGATATCTACCAACAGTAGGAACAACGACAGCAACTTTAGCTATTAGTCCTCTTCCTTAATTGCCATTGTATTCTATTGATTTGCTGGTAATGTTAGTAACATAATGACATACAAAGATAACTTTCAAGAAGGATAAACTAATTAAATTTTAACTAAAAAAATAAGAATTGAAAATTTCAATGCATATTTTTCATAGATTTATTATTAAGAATGATAAGTTTGAATGAGAACAAAGAATAAGGACATTGATAAAATCGCTTATTTTTGGAACCCAGTGGTGCTCATGAAGTAAAAAAAAAAAAAAAAAACTGTCTTTCAATGAGAATTTTGCCACAATACCCATGAGACTATTCTTTGATTGTTACCGATCTTTTTGTTCTTCAAATTTAATCATAATCTTTTATAGATATATATATATATATATATAGGTCAAATGTAAAAAAACACCTTTATAATATGCTTACAATACATATTGCACCCTCACGTGCAAAAAATACTCATAAACTATGACATTTATGCAAATAGGTTCTACTTACATATTTATGATAAAATTGAACTAAAATGTCCATAGCAACACATTTTATAAAATGTATAAAAAATTAATATATTGTGAAATGACTTAAAAGGGTAGCTCTCTACGGAAGAAAAAAAAATTATTATTATATATATATATATATATATATGTATATATATATATATATTTCTTCTTGTTCGTCTTGGTGGCTGCCGCCATGGTTATATATGTGTGTGTTGGAAACTAGCTGTGAAAACTAGTGTTTCTACATGTGAATGAAACTTGTCTATGAATATGACCTATGTATATCAAGTTGCAACATGAATATATGGTGTGAATGGTTGCATGTTGTTCCATGCAAAGTTATGTATATCATAACATACACAATTTAGGCCATGTTGTTGACCAGTTTTTTAGTGTATCCTTTCATAGAAAACATGTTCGATACACGTTGCCATGGTTGTCGATGTATAAGCAATAGTTGCGATGGTTGTCGATGTACAAGCAACGTTTGTGAAATGGTGTGACAGCTGAAACATTGGTTCTAATGGCTGAATAACCACATGAATGAAATTTAGTTATTGAATTAAATAGGTGCGATGGTTGGTGAACCGACACACCCGATCCTAATAGACACCATGTGCTCTATAAATATCCATCATCTCCATTTAGAAATTCATGCTTAAAAATGTTCAATTCTCTAATTTCTTCTCTCCCTCTTTAGACTTGAACCATGCCCAAGTGGGTTCAAGCCATAGGTCAAGTGGTTCGAGTCACTTAGACACTAATCTACTTTCATCGAGCCATATCAAAATTAGTCCAAGCCATTTGGTTTGGATTGCACCCAATTAATTATTTATATAGTATAGATGCATTTTTTAGTCAGAGAGAGTATTACACGGAGGAGGTTCGCCGTATCTACAAGTTTGTAGTGCTACTACCAAGGGCGGAGCTACGATTTTAATTCAGAGGGGGCGCAGTATAAAAAAAAAAAAAAAAAAAAAAAAAAAAAAAAAAAAAAAATTGACATACTATATACATCATTCTTAAGTGCAAAAAGAAGAATGTTAAGAAGTAGTGGGCCAAAAAAAAATAAGAAGAAGAAGAAGAAGAAGAAGAAGAAGAAGAAGGGAAGAAAAAAGAGAAATTTGAAGGGAAAAAAATTAGAGTTTGAGTAAAGAAGAAAAATTTAACTTTTTTTTTTTTTAAGGAAATCAAAGGAATATTAAGAGCAAAAGAAAAAGGAAAGAAAAATTTAGAATACA